TTAGCTCTTTAACTTTAAATATTTTTAATTTATTCAAACAACTTTAATACAATTCGAATTATTTCGAATTATTTTGCGCTAATAGTTCATAGTAATTTATCTAAATCTGTTTTATTTTTGAATTTTGCCGTTTAAAAATTTTAGCTCTTTAATTTAAATTATTTTAATTTTTTTAATATAATTCAAATTATTTCAAATTATTTTGTGCTTAATTGTTCACATTAATTTATCTCAATCTGTTTCAAATTATTCCGAATTATATTGCGTAAAATTGCGTTATTTCTTGTATAATATTGCGTAATTATCTTATATAATATTTCATAATTATATATTTCACAATATTGCGAAAGTTATTACGTAATATTACGGTTTTCTTACGCTTCGTAAATTATTGTACAATATTACACCCTATTAAATTTGCTGATGCAGGTCTATTGCAAACAGGGACAATTCCACGTAGATTAATATTTTTTATGTTTTTGTAAGCACTATTTTTGATATGAGTCATATTGACAGTATCAGCAACTTAAAGTATGTTAAAATTGATTAATAGTGTATCTATTAATTAATTTTATGAAATAAAAACATACTAATTTACCTTTAGGAATTTTATAAATTTGCCTAGCCCAGTGAAGTATATTTGGATAGTCATGTTTAATAGTTTTCAAATTTGTTTTACAAAGTATGTAATAAACTGAATCAAATTTACATAATTTTATGAATATATAACTATCAAGTTTCTTTTAATACTAGTCAATAATGAAAATGATAAAAATTTTTAAATATATATTACCTAACAATGTCAACCCAAAGCCTAATGTCAGCTTCGGTTAAAGTGTTTCTAACAAGGAACTTATTTTTGAAAAGAATAGCTTCTACATAATCCAGAGCTTTGAACAGAGGTCCAATATGGCTAATATTTGTTGATAGAAAATACTAACAATTAATTCTAAGAGTTAAAAAAAATACATATATATATAAAATGCATACAGTACATACAAGCATCTTGAGTTTCGGCAAATGTACATTTAAAAGGGCGTGAGTTAATTTTATTATAAATCCAATCATTTATTTTGTCAATTTCGTTTGCAAGATGTTTTGGATATAAATTTTTGCTTTTTGCTCCTGGAACGAGATCATCGAACACATCATTAAAAATGCGGATCATCTTACTCAATTCATTGTTGACTATAATACAAAGACCGAGTTATAGATAATTGAACTTGATCTACTGTAGTTTATAGTAATTTCAATATTTACCAATTGTTTGCAATTTTTTATCCCAAAGGACAGGCACAGTGAATCTAAAGTAAATCTTTATTAATGAAATTGTATTAAATATGTATAATATATAAATAAATTTTAATCAAACCTTCCTTCATAATCAGGATCAGGATTAGCTTTGAAATATAATTCTCTAATATACTGAGCATTATTTACAATGTCTGGAATACACACAGGAGTTTCTTCGGGAGTACTAAATTTCTATCCATCCTCATCTATTACAGAATCAACAACGCTCAATCCAATAATGTCTTCAAGCCCTTTTAATACTTGTATGATGGCTGTTCTCTGAGTTTTTAGTAAAGGATGATGACAAAAAAAATATATATTTAGAAAAGCTTGAAAAATATTTATAAAAATATTGAGGATAAATATAAATGTACCAATGGACAAGTCCAAGCAATATACAAATGATATCAATTCCTACATAGTGCAAGTACAACAAAAAAATAACAGCTTAAACAATAAGCTACACTCAGCTAAAATGCCAGTACAATAAACTAACTTTTCTGGAGTAAAAATCACATCTGGATTTTTACTAATCATATTACAAAAAGTAAAAGGCTTTCTATAATTGGATGACCATTGAGATTAATAGAATTTTATTCATTATGACTTTAAAATAAATACTTTTAAAATACTAACTTTCGAAATTTTTCATCTTTAGCAGTGGTAGTTATTTTTAGGAACAATTATTATTTTCGTATCAAATTTTTAATAATCGATAATGGTAAAATTTTAAAATAAATAAGGGTTTTTAAAGCTATAAAATATTAATGCGGTAAAATCGTTGTAATTAGGGTTGTGCCCCAAACCTACTAGTTTGGGATTAGGTAGAAACCTGAATAGTATTTACTAGGTTTTGCAAAATGCCCCTAATTTGCCGTAATGTTAAACGTTTTTGACATGGAACTAATATTACGGCTAAAAATCCCAAATTACTATATGTAAAAATAGTTTTGAAATTTATCCCTTATACAGAACAGATCAAAACTCTAATAGGGTGAGATTATTTAATTTATGCAAGACTATAGTTTAATCTATTACTTTAATTGGTGATCCACTAGTCAACCAGAGAATGATTATAGTAAAATTGACTTAAATCACTTATAAAAATTGAGGGTCTCCAAATGTGGCATGTGCACATCTAAAACTTTTTTATACTAAGTTAATCACTTTTCTAACTTAAGAGACTTTTGTAAAGCTTGTCAAGACGCATCTA